GTGCGAAAAACGTCCTTCCCTGAGAGGTTATTTATATATTTGAGGTACATATATATTGTCACGGATTCCGGGTTCACTAAAGCCCACTTCACAATCAGTATACATATACACAAAAAATCTTGTATTTAAATTGACAACTGACTCCAATAACATTCTTATTACACTGAACCCCACACTGACTACTACGCGCTATTTTATTTAGACGACATCTGGTTTCGGATTTATCTAGAAGTCTTGTTTTCTCGAATAGAATAATAAACGCGCTTTAATCTTCAACAACTGAATTCTTAGAATCTGGACTCTCTATGTAGTCTCGAAACAATATGTATTTTGACTGAATTGTCCCGTAACTACTAATATAACTTTACCTCGATTTTCGAAAGAGAATTTGCTTTTTATTCGGAATGGCTTACATTGCGGCAAAGGGAGAATAAAATTATTCAAAGAGCAGGATCTTCATTTATTTCATATAAATAGGTATCGGTTGGTTTTTATCCAATTTCCAATATGTGTTATTATCAATATTTCATCTTTGCATGATCAGCTTTCATTTCTGTTTAAAATCTTGTCTTGTAAAAGAATAAGTCTACGAAGAGATATAGTAATAAATCGATTAACTGTTACCTTCTTCCAAATGGATCAACGGACAACCCTTCATTTTACATGAATTTACATAGTGGAGCGGTGCGAGATGTATGGCGATGTGGAAAACTTAGATAACATATTAATTATGAAAAGGTATAAAAGTAGGTAAAAATACTGTCGCCTATCGAGTCAGAAGCTTCAGAGATTTGAAACCTGATTTTATTGCTATATCTGGGCGCTGGCCTCAAGTAGGTAGAGTAAAAATTTAAGTGGCTCAAATAAATATTGTCACGTATAAGGGAGGACACTTTTCCAAATTTAAAATTTAAATAAATTTTGTTCAAAACAATGACACAGAGATTCTGACAAAAATTTGAAATACTGTCGAATTCAAAACTCTTTTTATTCGTGACCCCTTCGCTCCTTCTTTTGATCTCCAATATAAGTACAGTATTCCAAAGACATAGATCATAACCACCCTCGCTCGTGGCACCCCACTCACCACCGCCTACAAATCCTTGGACCCAGCCCACGTGACTTTTCCGATCTCACACCGCCAGTTGACTGTGTAGAAAAGGTCATCCGCGTCACTGCTGAGCTGACACCGTCCCGGTATTCAACAGGTAGCGCTGCCGAACGGCAGCGAAAAAAGCCGAACGAGCCTGGGAACGTGCCGAACTTTTCGTCTCAGCGAGCGGTGCGGTCCCTTTGGTCTCTCCACCCCACTCCTCATCCCTGGTGTCTGGGTAGCTCGTGTCGGATGCTGCGGAAGGACGAGTTAAGACAATGTTGTCGCGTTTACCGTAGATCAATAAACAATTCCTACAAATTTGTTTTTTGGACAGATAGAAAATACATGTATCTATGATTTCCATGCAAAATTATTTTAATATATACGAAACCAGTCCGACCTTGGCTGCTATTCTAAGTCCTTGCTCGCGACGCCTTTGACTAGTTTTTATCGCCTTTTTATAATGTTTGTGGTGTAATTTTTTTAATAATCAGCCAAGTGTTAACACGTTAAGACTAAGTCTGTCATATGTCATACTACTTTTTTGTCAACTTGTCTTATCATGCATCTCATTGCCATGGTGGAAAAGCTTTTTGTCTTTGCATTAATTATAGCTTGCGTCTGTGTGTCATGTCTGATTGTTTTAAACAATAGTCTGATTATAGTATGATACCTATAACGGGTCTTCAAAAAAAATCAATTAAAGATTGCTATGGTTTTTTAAACGTATGTCTTAGCAATATTTTTTCAGTGAACCTCAATGTCAAAATGTCACGTCAAAAATCCTGACCAATAAAGAAACAATAATGCGATGTACGTTTTCGTAATCAAAACAATCTTTGATTGTTTTTTTTTTTGACCCGTTATTATCAAGAAATGTTACTTTGTTCTGATTAGTCAGTATTGTGGCATTGTCTGTATTAGTAATTAGCAGAATTGTGAAGCACTAGAATCGGAGCCTTATTTATACCCTCATTTCAGTTACATACCAAATCTTAAGCTTTTGTCAACATTATTTTCCACTAACAATGAATACTGTGAACAAGACAGGAACAATAATTTATTTTTAACCAAAAAAACTGATCATCCACAAACTTACATCCACTGAATTGATTAATTACCGTCAGTTATGCCTCCTTTTCAACTATATGTAAAAAAAGAGGCAAGAACCCACATAACAGTGAAAGAACATTCATATTCTCAGAATATTCCCTCAAAGTGCTTTTTGGAATGTTCTTTTAGGAATGTTCAATGAATATTCTAAGATTGTTTCGATTGAAATATTCATTTTTGAACGTTCTATTTATGTACTAGGAATTTTGCTTCTATGCACCTACCTCAAAGATTGTGCTAAGAACCTACTTTATATAACATTATTTGAGTATTCTCATACGAACATTTATAATGTACTCTAAAAAATGTTCCTTCGGCTAATATCTCTATCAAGTATTAAGAATATACCTATCAAGTTGTGCTGAGAAGTTAATGTAAGTAGGTACCCATGATAAGAATATTTCCATATTGTTCACCTAATTATCTAAAGTAGGTACCTACTCAAAAACTTATTTGAACAATTAAACAATAATGCTCTATATAGAACCTACTAAGAATATTATAGGTACATTCTTTTTCTTTTGCTTTGTAAGACTTCCAAGAGAGGGAGCCACGCGCTATTAAAGATCTACATCTTGCCTCGCGTTTGAATCACCTTGGAACCTGTTTCTCTCAGTTGGCGTGCTTCGACGAGAGCATAACAAGCTCGAAACCGGAGCTTTGGTTAAACACTTGTGTTTTCCAGAGAAATTTTCCAACAATTCTTTCACTGCCTTTAATATAAAAGGACTGGAAGGAGCATTATTTGGAAAAAAAAATTAACATTCCAAGTATATCCTTAGAATCAAACAAGAATGTTATGTCTAGAATACATATGTCATAGAAACATTCTTTGAATATGAGAATATACATTTCGAGCATATTTTTAGAATTAAACAGGAATATTCTTTTCAGGATGTACTGAGAATCTTATAGGTATATTCTAGGAATATCCTAATGGATTTCCCAGGAAGTTCTTGAGAATTGCAAACAGTATTTCTACAATCTTTTCTCAGAACATTCTCAGGACATTCGCAATGGTTTTGGCGAACATTCTAGGCACATTCCTCCTAAAAAAAGAACATTCTTAATACATTCTAAGGATGCAATTTTGTTATGTGGGAATAGATAACTATAAGCTATTCCAGACGAAAATATATAAACCTGGTGATCTGAATGGCCACTCACGAATCCTTCAATCTATAAAGCTCGAGTGCCAAAGTAAACCAATGGATCATGATAACATCACTGGACTTTGACATTCCATATGAAGTGGTTGTAAAAGAACGCAAATCATGGAAGAACACTAACCTACCGCAAGCGGACAAGCTAACGGAACCCAAGCTATAGGTACTAACACTAGCCATAAACATCTGTGCCTGGAAGTGCCTCAAGAGAGGCTTTTTGAGAGAGCACTTTTACAGACTGTCCGACAGTCAAGTGGCTCTAAGGGCTATAGCAGCTATCAAGTGCAATTCTCAGCTAGTTTGGGACGGTAAAAATATCCTTAGGCAACTGGCTGGGAGGAATAAAGTAACCCTGATGTGGGTACCAGGACATCGGGGCATAGAGGGCAAAGAGGAGGCAGACCGTCTCGCAAAGCAAGGCGCCTAAACACTTTTTCAAGACCTAGAGCCTTTTTGTAAACTAATGAAAAGCCACGTCTCCGAAGAATTGAACTGATTGGAAAAGGACCGAATCCTAGCTCATTGAAGATCCATTCCGGGTCTGAAATAGGCAAAAAGGTTCATATCCATCTCAGCAAAGAGATCTGAACAACTTCTTCACATGAACAGAACAAACATTAGAACAGTCGTTGGTCTGCTCACTGGGCATTGCCTGGTGAAATATCACCTAAAAACAATAGGCAAATCACAAAACGACCACTGCAGATCTTGCGAAAAGCAACAGAAACTACAGAACATTTGATCTGTGAATGCCCTGCTCACTTCTGCTAAAGGCTGAAATACCTTGAAGGGTTACAGCTAACACCAAAAGAGGTGGGAGAGGTGGGCACTTTACCACCCAGGAAGCTGTCCGCCTTTGGGAGAAGCCTACAAATCTTGGACACCAACTAGAAGCACAGTCACGCACAAAATATCTAGGAAGGTAGCGGTGTTTGAGCGTCTGGAACAAGCTGTAACGACTCCTAATGCAATCTAAAATCTACAATCAGTTAACGTCATTCTGATAGTTTTCTTCGTTGCACGGGCAAATTTGGCAAATCCATTGTTTGATATGAATACACAACGACAACGGCATCATTTGCCGAACAACTGTTGAACTTTGATGGTTCAATAATGGCAATCCAATATTTGCTCTCGATGGTAAGCCATCTACCAGCCGATGGGTCCTTTGCTTGTCTTGCGATCAATGGCAGTCAGCAACAAAGAGCCAATACAAAATTATTCTGATGCCAATGTGTCATAATGTTTCTAGTTGCTGCGTTATTGCATATCCTATTCCTTGGCATTTCTGCGAATGAAAATTAGCTGACTTGCGAAAGTTGAGCCTTGTGACGTAATTATTCTTATAAACAAAAAAATTACATACCAACTATAACAAATTAAATATCATAAAAGGATTTAAAAAATCGTATAAGCTGCCAATTACTTTCTCATCAACTTAATTGGATTAGTTTGTAGAATCATCTAAAAAATCATTTTTAAAATAAAAAGTACTATTCGACCCAGTTCTAAGAATCGATTTTTAAAAAAATCACGAGAAATAGTTATTTTTCCACTCACACGGCAACGTTGCATTGCCATGAGACAAGACAAGACAACAGGTCAGTTTCAGCGGATTTAGCGGTTCGAGATCCACGCGACCGACTCATTCTGTCGCTAGACTTACTACGAGGTAGTCGCATCAACTCTGTACAAGGCCTGATCACAAAACTTACGTACTATTTTTGTGTACCACCAAAAAAAAAAAAAAATTACATGGACTTTTTTTATCGTGCTAAAAATTCGGGTGTATTTTCACAGTGCCAATTATTGTTCTTGTGCGTGATATAAAAAATAAATAAAATGGTGACCACAACAGTACAGCCAAATATTTCGGGCAGTACCAACAGCGTTCCTGCTAGCGTTTTGCAGCCTAATCCTTCGGTTACAGTCACCCCTATGCTGGTCAAAAATGAGAACGCTAATGGACATTTAACTGTAACCATGGAAGGAACTAGTAGTCCAGTTAGTGGTGCTGTCAACAGGAGTACCACCCGAGTCAGTGAAAATAGAAGGGTAAGTTGAAGTTTTCACACAACGCACATTTTAAATTCTCTACAAAAATTATTATCTAGATGTGCTTGAAAAAAAGTAGAACTTATATATAGAACATATTCGTCAAAAAAGACGAATTATTTAAACATTCTCCTTAAAAAAATTGAACAGTCTGCATAAAGCTATGATTGTTCGAGACCGAAAATAATAATGATGAACAAGTACCCATTTATTTGATATCTATTGATGTACTACCTACCAAATAACCATTTCATATCTACATAGAATTTCCTAAAAGAAAAAACTTCAGATTGTCTCCTGGAACTTCAACACATAAATGAATAAAAATAATCCGTCGTCAGCTTAACATCGCAACAAACCTAAAAATTTTGGGCTATTAGGAAGTAAATTCAAAATAGCTCATTTAGAAATAATAGTAGTTTTAATTCTGGTTTTCAGTAGCTTTTTACAAGTTGCAAATATGTATTTCAGAAATAATAAAATTTTAAAAGGATGAAGCATGAATTGACATCAAGTTTTTATATATTTTTTTCGGACGTTTGACTATAATTTATGTTGAACTTAACGAGACTTATAAAAAGTGCATGCAGTGAAAGTCTCAGTTATTTAGCCAAGTTACATAGGTTATTCAATTTCTTGCATTCCAGTTACTTATTTGTAGCACCTACCTTCAAAATCCAAGACATATTTACCGAATTCTTTCAGGATAAAGGAGATTAACAGACAAAATGTCTTAGTATTTATCATGATTATTTCAATGTAAATCTTATGTTTGAGGACACCCCTCGCATACTATACAATATGTAAATCCTCGACCTAAATCGAGGTTCTTTATTGGAGCCGTTCAAAATTTGAAGTTAAAGTCAAACCATGAAAACATTTTGAAACTCTTCAGAAATGGAAACATTAATAAAAATCAATAAAATACTTTACATTGAAAATTTAGAATGTTATGCCCATAGGTACACGCTAGAATAATCTCATCTTTATCAAAAATTCGATACATTTTCGAGAGCTTACAAATTTTCTGTCTGTCTGGGAAATGAAGTAACAAAAATTAAGAAAAAAATATATGTAGGTACAGGGTCATTTTTTATATTTTCCCACCTCCTTTAACTTTTCTGTGCCACTGTCTATGAAAAAAATGTAAATAGGAAATGAGATAGTTTTCAGAAAACATCGTTTTGTTCATACAGCAGAAAGTTGAAAAAACAAAAAAATATTTTCTTTTAAATGGGACACCCTGTTTATTGTGACATTTATGGATTCTGCGGCAAATTCTAGACATATTTCATGTATAATGTCATATACCTATCTTCAACTGTTTCAGAAATATTGACAGTAGAAAATTGACTTTTTTGCAACTTTGACAGACTGTAAAACCTAAACGGTTAATTTTCCAGCAAAACCGATTTTGAATTTAACCGGTGATCAAATTTAACCGGAATTATGGTTGTTGGAAAGTTGATGTCAGATGATATTTTATGGAAAACCACAAGCATGTATGATCGGTTTTGCTGTAAAATCAACCGTTTAGGTTTTACAGTCTCTCAAAGATGCAAAAAAGTCAATTTTCAACTGATAATATTTCCGAAATAGTTGAAGATAAGCATAGGACATTGTAAATATTTTTTTGTTTCCTAAACTTTCTGCAACACCCTGTGTGAACAAAACTTTGTTTTCTGAGAACTATTTTTCAAGCACTACACCCTTCCTATTAGCATTTTTATTATACACGGTGGCACAAAAAAGTTAAGAGGGGTGAGAAAATATAAAAAATGACCCTGTACATATAGTTATTTCAAATTATATTTATAAAGAGCGTGGATGCAGATAATCTTATCAAAACCATTGTATAAGAACTCAAAACTTAGCAAAAGCCTCGGCAAAAGCGTTGCGAACTTTGGGTGAGCGTTTAACCTCGCTTTCGACAGACAGTACCCTGTCCTCGTTTACGCGACAAATCCGCGGTACTAATTTTTAACAAAAAAAAAACATCGTTATCATTGACTGGGTACGTCGTTCTGTCATGAATTAAACATAATATCGTCTGCCTACTGAATAATGTTGCGAAAAAAAGCCAGAGTTCCATGTATCCGCGAATGTAAACCATTTCGCCTTTTAAAATAAACAACACCGAGCGGAACATACGTAGTACAAAAGTTGGAAAAACAACAATCGTGCAACCTCAATTAAAAACACTAGGTCGTATAACATACGTGGGGAATTTTCGCGGTACTCTTAATTTTTGCTCCTCGTTTAATTTGAACAGAAACGATAAAGCGAACATTATAGCTAACGATAATGTATTATTAATAATTGTTATCAATTGGCTTTAGGTTTCATAGGTAGACATTCCAACTGATACGAAACTAAAAATGTGTATTGATTAGTTACTGATTAGATACTGCATTAGTTCCTAGAAAAAGTGAGAAGCTAGCAAGTTTTGCGGGGTAAATTGAATACCTACGCATTGACAGATACTAAAGTAAACGAACAAAAATGGAAGTTATTATTTTTCTAAAAAATTCTTGAGTTAGTTAACACTAATTTTCCCTCAATGATTTGCTTAGATATTCTTGAATCTAACATTCTTTGTTCATATTGACGGGACTTCATAAGACGTTTTGCTTAGGAGACCATCCCCTATCCCCTACAGATTCTTGAAAAAATTGGAACCCCATCATTTAATGCACGATTCGCCGCCATTTTAAATCAATTTGCTTGGACTATTAGGGCCAGTTTATCAATAGGGGTCAAATTTGCGGGTTAATTAATTGACCCAATAATATCTTTATCCTCAGGTCAAACTAGTGTTGCGTTTTTCTATTACTTCCTATCTTTGGGTTATCAAACTCTAGACTGGCGACACCTCCTGCATAGTTGCCAGACCTAGGTTGATTGTGATTGGTTAAAAAAGTCAACATAACTTAAAATAACATAGTATAAATAATATATGGTTTATTTACATTTCCCTTCCTTCATAGTACAAAGAATAATAACCTAGTGTTATTATTAACCTAGACACTTCAACAACGAATAACCTAAACTCGAACCTCACCCTTTTGAATTAATAGAGAATATCCGGTCCTTTCAAATTATTCATTTATGTAATACCTAGTTTGATGATGTTTAATCTTAAATAGATTTCAAGCAGAAGTTGAGAAGAAATTTTTTTTCATATGTATTCTCTAAAGATTTAATAAGACAAAAAATAACAAACGTTTTACCAAGCTCAGAAAAACAAAAATACATATATTACTATAGTTTATTTTTTAATGACGGGGTACGATAAATCAAATTCACCAAATTAATCCCTTAAACCCCTTACAGAGTGACCCTCATTCGTAGGTACATACATACAGATTTTTTACAAACTTCTCCAAGAAAACCAACCTGAAAGGCTTGACCTACCCTACCCTTATCAGTCGTCAATTCTAAAATTCCTCTCACCAAACTCACACTACCCATAGGCGCAGTCGTCTCAATATTTCGTTAATTTTTCGGGTTATGTAGGCACGCCAATGAACTAATTATAATAAATGCATTCTGACACATTTACCTATGTGTACCCTGGGATTGAAAAACAGAGTATAGGTTTGTAAGAGTACAAGGGTTAATAATGCATTTTTATTGTCCATTATCGTGAAATCCGCCTTTATGATGAAATTGGGACAAATTCCGAATTCGTACCTTTCGCTTCCGATGAAAATTTTGTAGATTTTTTTTCCCGGATGTATTATACCTACCTGCTCCGTGCAAATACTCTCTGGGAACCGCCGTCGCGCGGAGTGCGGACATTTGATCAGAGCCGGCGTCCTGGCTATATTTAAAACAAAAGAGCGTCGCGGCACGTTGCCAACTCGGGCACGAGGCGGCCACGCTTGACGCAACACTTTTCCCACGCCAATATTCGTTCCTATCTATTCGTACTGACTGGAGCGCCTGAAGCAAGGTCGTCTTGCATCTACAGGGTGAATTGCAGCGAAGGCAATTAGCACGAACTTTATTCATAAAAAGGTTTATTTCTGATGCATCTTTTGAAATAAAAATTCATCATAAATAGTTGAAAATTTCTCGTTTTCTCCCCTATGATGGAATAACTTGAATCTCAAAACTGTCCTTACACTATTTTCGAAGCAGATACCACTGCACAAAAATTTTACATAGACCTCTAATATTTCAAAAGTATTCACCAAGCTTTCTTCGAACATCTTCTGACTTCCCCAGATTTTCCCAAACGTCCCCTTACGAGTGAAGGTGTTTCCCCCTCGAGTGTCATCTGAAATTTAATGTTTGCTTGCATTCTAATTTGGATTATATTAAGTACCTATCTAGAACTCAATTTTTTCATTTGGTCCGTTGTATTTCATTGGTCAATTTCAAAACGGATTAAATGAAGTAATTTTACCTAACCACGCGAACACGACTAACGGACGTTCAAACGGTTATTGAAGCACGATTTAAACTTTTCATCACAACTGAGCGTACCTACCATCTATGCAACCATTGCAACCAGCTCTAAACATCGTTTTTTTTGCAGAGCAACAAACCCATCATGGAGAAAAGACGAAGAGCAAGAATCAACAACTGCCTAAACGAATTGAAAACTTTGATACTGGATGCAATGAAAAAAGATGTAAGTGCTAAAATCAAACCAAAGCATAGCGCATGGCTGATTTCATATAGTTAGGTCAACATTCAATTATATAAGCAATAACATAGGTTGCGCCCATCACCTAATGCTTAAATTACCTTGTTAAATGTAAATGTTATGGATTATCAAAGTCGTTTTTTTTTTCCAGCCGGCGCGCCATTCAAAGCTTGAAAAAGCCGATATCCTCGAAATGACAGTAAAACATCTCCAAAACCTGCAAAGACAACAACAAACCGTTTCAAATATCACGGATCCATCAGCCATTGGTAAATTTCGGGCAGGTTTCACGGAATGCGCAACCGAAGTTGGTCGATTCCCAGGCTTGGAGCCTATTGTTAAAAGAAAACTATTGCAGCATTTGGCCAGCTGTTTAAGCCAAAGTTGCAAGCCCCAAGAAGTGCCTCAAGTGCAAGTACATATATTGCCTAACCCACAGAGATCGCCTGAGCAACAAGTACCTCAGTCTGGTATAATTTTGAGCAATGGTACTGGCGCAGGTGTACAGTTAGTACCCACACGTTTGCCGAATGGAGATATCGCCTTGGTATTGCCAGCTTCAGCTCAAAATCACCAATCAATACCGTCACCAGTACCGCTGCTAGTACCTATAGTACCCGAACGCAGTGCCAGTACAATTTCTGCTGGATCCAGCTCTGGTTACAGTCCTAGTCATAGTCCAGAGCCAATGGATACCATGTACTGTTCCACACAGCAAAAACCTTTATCTCTAGTTGTGAGGAAATCAGAGCACTGTGAAGACAACTCTGAAGAAAGACCTTGGAGGCCTTGGTAAAAAAGGTACATATAATATATTTGTTTGAATTTTAAATGTGATAGTTTTCTTGAATAAAATTATGTATAGATATAATAGATGTAGAGTTAAATAAAAATGTAGGTATTTGAAAATTCACAATTTTTTAACTTTGTATACAAAAAAAAAATGTGTTTTTCATTCACTGTTTTGGTTTCACTAAATGGAATTATTAAACCAAGCTTTAACATCCAAGGGGTATATAAAATTTTCAGTAAGGTTTTTTTACATTTACTTTTAGTTTTTTAAAAATCTACAAAGTAGTTCAAAATTAGTGGAGAGTGATTTTTTAGTTATTCAAAAGTCTCTGAACAAATTCTTTGTAAATATTTCGAAAATAATGTTGCTGGATACACTGGGTATTAATTTTACGTTACGTGATGACACAAAACTTCTGGTAAATGCTAAAATTGGATTCTGTAGGGCAACATTCAGAAGTAATTTTTCCGATTTTACTTGGCAACCATAACATAATAAAAACAATACCTATTAGAGTTCAATGTGGAGCTTTTCAGTTACTGGATTGAGTTCCTTCAATAATCGTCTGACACAATCTTGAGGCAGGACTTAAATACCTATAAATTATGTTCTTGCTTTTATTTTGATTCTGCTTATCACTTTGCAATCATTTTCTACTGCAACTACTACAATGTGTACAAATTTTTTGGAAAGAAATACGTTTATTTTGCTTGAAACTGTTTTGTGATAATACCAGTAAATTTGATATAGGTAGGTACCTACTACAATGCTCCAATTTTCTTTCTACTAACATAAATTACTGATTATTTATATCTTACACTTACACTACCTATGCACACTACCAATAATGAGATTTTTAAATGAATTCATACATGATTTCAATCAACTTTTTATTTTTCAGCAACTCTCTTCTGGATTGAAATAATTTTAAACGATGATTAATTTATCTACTAATTTCTTTTGGATGCAGAGTTGTTCAATATTTGGGGCTCGTTCTTTTATATTTTTTAATAATTTCAAAAACTTGTTTTACATTTGAAAAATGAAAGAGAGTAGCCGAAAATATTATTATTTAAGTTTCAATGACAAATATTAACGACAAAACAATATAATTTCGCAGTGGCATTGAAATAATTATCGATCAAACATTGCAATTGAAATAAATGTTTTTATAAAATGAAAAAAGTATTTATGAATACCTACTTATGTTAAGTGCCTTAGAACAACAAAATTTACAAAAGTCTTCCAAATATAATTATTGTTAAATTTTGTTGTAAAATTATTATACATTATATAATATACTTAATATACAAAATTTATATGCAATGACCCTAACCTACTTAACCTAGAGTATTTTTTATTTGTATGATAAAAAAAAAGAGTTCTAAGTTCTATTTAGAATAATAAAGAGTGATATGTTTGAGTTTATTTTTATGTTTTATTTTCTAAATCCCTTTACCTATTAACGTAGGCTAGACAACGTTAGCAAAAATAACATGAGAATTTTGAGATGTTTTTTTTTCGCACTTGTGAATTGTGCTGTGGTGTGTGAATTTGGTTAATCGCAAACAAACAGATATGTCGAAACAGCAGGTTATCTAACACACTCAGTGAAAAAATAATTATTAAAACCAACTACAATTAGTCGATAATTTATATGGATATGTTCGGCTTATCATAGCTCGTCTTTGCTCATAGGCTCATAGCCTGTTTATGTTTATTTCAACGTCATAGCAACCTAACAATAAGAAAGTATATTGAAGGAGGCTTTTATTGTTTGTTTATATTGAAATTAACGTGTTTACTAACTAACCAGTTATCGACCTATTCAACGTTCAACTTACTATCCGAGGAAATTGATATTTCGTAATTGGCTTGCTTATTTCTGGGGACTCCCCACGCGGTACTTCCAGAATGTCCACAACTTCCCTAACTAAAGGAAAACGTAAATTTGGCACCGTCACACACACCATTCCTACCAAATCATTCATTGAAAAATTTCTGCTTGATGTTCCCTTTTCGCTTGTATAGAGGCTGGACTCATCTTGATAGTTTCAATTATTTACTTTTTTAGGGACTTGGGAAAACAGGAAATATTTAGGTTTCCCCCATAGTGTAGATACCACTCTACAGGAGATAAAATGGGCTACTACTAAAGGGCACTACGGCTGTGCTTATTTTCAAACTGGTTCAGGGAGGGCCTATTCTTAAAGGCACTTGCATAAAATATCACACGCATCAGTAGACTTCTCACGAAGTTGTTCTACAGTTACTTCCAAAGTCTTAGTTCATTGAAACATTTTGTATGTGTAAATCATAACAAATTGATAACGTCCGTCGTTAGCTGGAGTTACTTCTACCGCTTTGTCTTCTCTTAAGTTTTACTTACTCCGTAGCGCTACGCCCCTGTTGAGCTTTGGCTGGAGCGACGACTTGCCTCCATCCGACACGATCAGTCATAAGCGTCGTGCCATTTTCGATGCCCAGTTTTCCCAGATCCGCAGCAATGTGGTACCGCCATATCAGTCTGGGTCTTTTCCCCTCTGGGGGTTTCTGCCATACCAGTCGTATTTTTTTTTTTTTTTTACGGATATGCGCACTCGCAAGGAAATGTCCTATCACGCTCGAGAAGCGGCAAGTGCGCGGAAATGTCGGTGTATGTTGGTCTTGAAACGGTTCAGGTTGTAACCTGCAGGGAAAACCGTCGCAAGGGAGTTTATTCCACAGCGATGCTGTTCTCCAGAGATATGAATTCTGATATAATGAGGTTCTTGGTGCCTCTAGTTTGACAGTAAATTCATGGTTACCGTCTGTTTGACGGGTTCGCCTGGTAGGCGCTACTCTCGGTGGAATCATACGTGCCAACTCTTCAGAGCATTTTCCGTGATAGTACCTGTAGAAGAGAGATAAATCGCCCACAGATCTGCGATGTTCGAGACCATCCAAGTTACGAGTAAGTGCGGGGTCATTGATCAGCTTGATAGCTCGTTTTTGCACGGTGTTCAAAAGCATTAAGGTATGTTTGGGTGCTGCACTCCATATATGTGAGCAGTACTCCATCGTTGGTCGAATCTGGGCTTTGTAGAGTGTCAGCAATTGGCTTGGTGTGTACAGATGTCTTGTACGAAATAGCACCCCCAGCTTTTGGGACGCCCTTTTAGCAATATCTGCCACGTGATTGTGCCAAGACATGTTGATCTCTGCAGTAACCCCCAAAATGTTCAACTGACTCTGTAATGTGACAGCACTTCCAGATAGCATGATGTTTGGCTCACCAGTGCTGTTCTTTTTTGAAAACAGAGCTGCTTGGGTTTTCTGTGCGTTGAACTGTACAAGGTTTTTGTTACCCCAGTCCTCTATTATCTCCAGGTCGTTATTTATCTGCGATATTTGAGTTAGTCTAAGATGATGGAATTCACGTGCGGAAAGACCTGTGGGTGGTATGAGTGAGGAGACTACATTGCCATCGTCTGCAAAGCAATAAAGTGGATTTACTGTTTTATCTATGAGGTCATTTATGTAAATCAGAAAAAGAGTTGGCGAAAGGATTGCTCCCTGTGGCACACCAGCATTTATTTGGTAAGAGTTGGAGTTCTGGCCATCCAGTGCAACATAAATGGATCTGTCCTTTAGGTAACTTTCAAACCAAGTGCAAAGTTTCGGCGATAATCCCATTGCTCTGAGCTTGTTGAGCAGATTTTCATGCTAAACTTTGTCGAATGCTTTAGATATATCTAAGGCAATTGTTCTTGTTTCACCCCGCAACTCAATCGCTTTTTGCCATAAGTGAGTGACGTATGTAAGTAAATCGCCAGTTGACCTATATTTTCGAAATCCGTATTGCTTATCGTTGATAATTTTGTACTTTTCCAAGTACTTGGTTAGGTGATTGTTCACAACTCTTTCCATTACTTTTGATATCACCGGAAGTAGAGCAATTGGTCTATAGTTTAACGGATCTGTCTTTTTTCCTTTCTTTGGAATGGGTTGTACTGCGGCAGACTTCCATGATGATGGATATACTCCTTGCCTGTAAGACAAATTGAATAATTTTGCGAAAGTTGGGGTGAGTTCGTTGGCGCAATTTTTGAGTACTATTGCGGGAATGCCATCCGGACCCATTGCTTTGTTTGTATCTAGCTTTTTAAGGGATTTTCGTATTTCTCTGTGACAAAAGGGTACCTCTGGCATACTATGGGAAACCCTTTCAATGAACGGTGGAGTTTTTCCGTTTGGCACTGTTAGGTTGGAGTTTGAGGAAAACATTTGGGCCAGCATATTGGCTTTTTCCTCTGATGTTGTGGCTAAGTGATTATTTTTATCTGTAAGTGGTGGTATGGATGACTTGGTGAAGTTAGCTCCAACAGCTTTTGCAAGAGACCAAAAGGACCTAGAACTACTTGGACAATTCAGCAACCTGTTTTTTATTCTTTGATTGTATGTTTCTTTAGCGGAGTCAATAGTAATTTTGCAACTATTTCTGGCTTCTATAAATTCTGTGTGGTTTTGAGCGGTTTGTTGTCGTTTCCAAAGGTTATATGCTCTGTGTTTTTTCTGTACAGCCGTTTGACACTGGCTGTTGAACCAAGGTTTTGCATTAGCTCTACGTTTAGTTGTATGTGGGATATATGCATCCATTCCAGATAAGATTACTTGTGTTATTTCATTACAGCAAATAGTGGGATCAGCTGTTTTAAAGCAAACCTCTTGCCATGGAAAATGCAGGTAAAACTGTTTTAGGTCATTCCATTTTGCCGATTTATAGTGCCACATTTTACGAGGAAGTGGTTGTTGGCTTGGAGGGATGAGCATTTCGCACTTTGTTATTATAAGTTTATGATCGGACGAACCAAGTGGAGCATCTACCTGAATTGTGTACGAGTCAGGATTTGTGGTTAGGAACAAGTCTAAAAGCGCTGCAAATTCGCCCCTTTCTGAGATACGGGTAGGTTCATCGACAAGCTGCGTTAGACCACAACTTATGGCAAAAGCTTCTGCTTCTCTGCCTTCGTTATCTGTTTTGTTGTGGTGTTTCAGCCAGGGTATATTGTGGACGTTGAAATCGCCTAAAAAGACAATTTCCGCCTGTGGATAGTTTGACTGTATACTATCACAGCTTTCGGATAATGTCGCGAAAAAGTTTTGGTACTCGGTGTTAGATGGCGGTCGGTAGAGGCAGCAGATAAACTTGGTCGATGACTTTGAGGTGAATTTTAGCCATATGATATCAAGGTTCGCTGGTTCTAGCTTCTCCTCTCGATGACATGAAAGGTCATTTTTAATGTACACACAGATCCCAAAATTATGTCGAAATCGGTGGTGTAGGTCATAGCCGGGATAAAGATAGTTCACAATAGGTGTTGCAGAACTGATTTTAGTTTCAGCGAGAACAAGGACGTCAGGTCTTTGTTCTTCAAGATGTTGGTGAACTGAATTCATATTTGTACTTATTCCTCCTATATTGCTAAAATCAATTCTGAGTTGAGTTTTTGATCTTCTCTTTATATCTTTGCATGAAGGACCCCCAGGATCACCCGACGCCCGGAGATCCGAGTGGTCGGGTATTTTACCTCCGGAATATTTTGATCCTGGAGGCGCCATCATGCTATCTGTTACTCATTGTTGGAACCGGACTGCCAGCGCAGTAGCGGAACGTGGTGATACCACTTAGCGCTACTCAATTCTGGCATGGTGGTATCTCACCGGTCGACGCCCAATGAGTAAAAAGCGTCTACCACCTATCAGCCTTTTTTGGGTTGCCTACGCACGTGTCCTGCCCATCTAAGAAGTTGAGCCTTTATTATGTTGCACAGATCTGGTTCATCGTATCTCTCAGTTCTGCATTCGTTTTACTTCTGTATTGTTGCATCTGTAGGCCCTTTGTCGGGCCGTATATTTTATTTTTCTAAGTATTCGCCTTTCGAATCTACGGATCCTCATTTCGTACCGTTAGCGTCCACGATTCGCAGCCGTACCTACATGATGACAGGTCTGATGACAGTTTTGTATACTTTGATTTTGGATCTTCTAGTGACTTCTTTGGATCCAAATATGTTTTAAAGGGCATAAGAAGGAGTTGTTTGCGGTTTTTACTCGGTACTTTATGTACCGATGTCATTGTCGGCTGTGATGATCGAACCCAGGTGCTTAAACTGCTTGACGTTTTCAAAGTTGTACTCATTCATTGTCACATTTTGTCCCACTCTCCCTCTGCCTGTCTTAGAGATATGCATGTATTTATTCTGGACTTTGTTAATCCTTAGACCCATTTAAGATGCCCTCGTGCTTAAGTTTAACAAACGTTTCTTTGCTCTTTATTTCCAACACGTCAATACCGTTCGCATAAGCAAGTATTAGTTGCGAACCATTCGTTTGGAAGAGCTCTGTTACGAGTTTGAGGTCCCTTACAACCTTCTCCAAGTCAATAT